ATCATCCACGTCACCAAAGAGCGCTTGGGTTGAATTCGTTTACAACAAAGATGGCCGCCGCTGGAGAATGTGTAGATTCAGCCATCGCATCTTTTATAGAAGATGTAGACAGCGCATTCATTTTAAGAGAGGAACAGAGAGCCGCGATCAAGGCATTCGTCGGTCGGAAAGATGTTTTATGACGTCCTTCCAACGGGATTCGGTCCATCCAATTAAGTGCAGAGGCATTTTTTCCGTGGTTCGATTGAAACGTTCATATCACAGCCCAATGGAGCATCAGACTCATATTCTGACCAGAAGCGGAATATAAAGACGTCAGGCTAGCAGCAGAGGGAAAGATCATCGATAACTTCTTGATTGATAAATAGTGCAGTTCTGTCCTTTTAGGAGCTTGACAACAGCGAGACGATTCTGATGCATGTTTGGAACGACACGACAGTGAGAAAACTATAACATATTTTTCATTTTTAGTTGAACTAACCCTTTAGGAGTGCAGAAAGACACATCACGAATACCCGGCGAGATTGATTTTAAGGGAGCTGTTGTCACGGTAACGGTAAGGGCTCGCAGACTAATGCAGACTAAAGAGGGTTCGGCATGCAGTGAAAAAAAACATCACCTGCTTCTCAGAGGCAAAAACACAGTCATACCTCCATCTCTAGAGTTCTGCTGCAACTAAACCTGTACTAATGTGTTTCCAGGCAGCAGCAGAAGCAAAAACATGTTTGCTACCTACAGAGACACAACAAGCTTTTGTTAGTGAGCTCTACTTCATCACTTGTGAAAGTCAATCTAGCTCATGAAAGGCAAGGCAAGTTTATTTATATAACACATTTCACACACAAAGGTAATTCAAAGTGCTGTACATAAGAGAAAACAAATACATAGGAATAAAAATGGAATGCATAAGAAATCAAAATAACAAGAAAAGGATGGAAGAACTGCTTGTTTTACTTTAAGATTTTCCCATGTTGATTGAACTGTGCCGGTGGTGTTTTCTCGGATGTTTGCCAAGCAAGCATCACAATTACTTAGAGTTAATGATCTGAACAAACACTGTATTAAAGGGTTAGTTCACCCAAAAATGAAAATTCTGTCAGTATTTACTCACCCTCATGTTGTTCCAACCCCGTAAGACCTTCGTTCATCTTCGGAACACAAATTAATATATTTAAGATATTAAGATCGCTCCTGCATACTAGTCCATAGGCTTCTTGAGGGAATGACTTGCTGGCCTCGAAAAGTCATTAAAGACATCGTTAAAATAGTCCAAGTGGCTACAGTGGCTCAATTTTAACTTTATCAAACGACGAGAACACTTTTTGTGCGCAAAAACAAACAAAAATAAAGACTTTATTTCAACTATTCACTTCCTTCTCCATGGGCCTGTAGTCAGTTAACGTAGTGTGATAGCGTAAAGCTACGTCACACGTAGGCTCACTATTGGCCGACGCTGGTCATGTGTGTGATGCGTGTGACGTACAATAACAGAAGCTTACGCTATTAAACTAGTAACCTGACTCGAGGCAGAGGGAGAAATAAACGAATAGTTGAAATAAAGTCGTTATTTTTGTTGTTTTTGCGCAGAAAAAGTGTTCTCGTCGTTTGATAAAGTTAAGATTGAGCCACTGTAGTCACTTGGACTATTTTAACAATGTCCTTTAATGACTTTTCGAGGCCAGCAAGAGTCATTCCCTCAAGAAGCCTATGGACTAGTACGCAGGAGCGATCTTAATATCTTAAATATCTTAATTTGTGTCCCGAAGATGAACGAAGGTCTTACGGGGTTGGAACAACATGAGGGTGAGTAAATACTGACAGAATTTTCATTTTTGGGTGAACTAACCCTTTAAACTTCAGTGTGTAACTTGACCAGCAGCATTTGTGCTCCAGGACATGAATGATTCCTTAAAGCACACATCTAGTTTAAATTCGCTTTACTCCGGTAATCACAGCAGTAAATGTAAGTTTTATAGTTTAAAGAGATTTTAAGGCACTTCACCTCCACTAAACCAATGCTAGATCAGCCAAATCACAAATTAGGATTTCCCTAAGAAAAAAAACACGTGCTCACATGCCTCTAAAGAACATTTCTGTTGATGTTCAGGACTTGGAAGGACACTGGCAGGAAGTGGCGTTCAAACCGAGAGACAATGTATGTACTCTCCGAAGACTTGCCTTTTTCCGTCCAGGTCCGGGCCAAAAACATGCCGCTAAGAGCCCTGTTTGTCTGCTCACCAACTACAATGTCCTTTTTGGGCAGTGCCAGTCGGGATACCAGCAGCCTTTGTTGTGATTGGTCTACCCCTGATGCCCGGTGTGACCAAAACCAATCAGCAATCAGCAGGTTACACTGCGAAACGAGCCAGATCACCCAGTTACTGCGGTGTTTAGCCAAAGTTCGTAGTTCACTTGGCACTGTGCACAAACCTGCAAACTTAAACCCTGTGAGTCGGGTGCAAAACTAGTGTTTTATCAAAGCAACACACTAAACAGATAAACAAACAAACAAAAACTATGATTATATAATAGTGTCAGCAGATTAAATTCAACAAGGTCTACCTGCAGGATCTTAATTGTTTCTTCAACAATAGTCCTTTTTGCTGAAGCTCTTGAGAAAAAAGACTTTTACATTTCAGACGAGATCTCAGCAATGTCTCAAACTGTGCTCATGTGTGCCAATATGCACTCGGTCAAACCAAAGGATCCGAGCTGCTCCGCACATTCATTTTATAGCTCTATGCTAGGGATGCATATGAACAGTTTGGTCAATCAATACCGATGATGCTGGCCGATAACCGATATATCGGCCGATAAATCTAAATCCAAATTATTATGTAATTTTTGATTCATGATTGCAAAAACAAAAGTACCACCATTAAAACCCATGTCCCAAGCACACAATTCTGTATGTTCATTTTATGTAGCCTATGTGACAGATGTTGCATTTAAATGTATTTTTAGTAGTGGTGTGACGATACCCTCATGTCACGATTCAATACATATACGATACGATATACGATATTATTGAAAAATTGCTGTTTATTGAAATGTTAAATTTGGTATTGCATTGGGCATGTTTGAATAGTCTTGGACTTGGTGCTGAAACCCAAAGCACAGGACAATAGAGACACCAGAATAACAATATTCATGATTCTGAAGTGGAAAATACAGAATTATTTTAGATATTCTTGCACTCTGTCACTGATTAGATGTATTTAAAATAATGTAGGGCACTTTTTACTGGTAACAAGATAATTGGCATTATCAGGACCCACAAATATTCCCCCATTGGATTATTATACATTAAACGCAACATTATATATAGTAGTTTGATGTAGTTCTTCTGACACTAAAACTTAAACTTGATTTTTTTGATTTTTGGTGAACTACACACAATACATACTGTTACTTTCCACAATAAATATTGATGCACTTTTGTATTGCGATATATTGTGACACAATATATTGTTAGTTACACCCCTAATTTCTATTTTTTTAAGTTATTCCAATCCTATTTCAAGCAGTTCAAAAGCAGCATGGTGAACAGTGTGCATCGACATATAAAAAATGGTTGATATTTTGTGCGTCCCTACTCTTACTGGATTACTATCAACTATAAAGTCAGTTGTGTCTATGTTTATTCCTCCATTAGAAGTTTAGGAGAAAACCCAAAATAAAGTGATAAATTCAGAGCTATAAAGTAAAGCATTAAAATTGCACAAATGAATAAAACGACACTGCCGTCTGATATGTTGCTACATGCCTTGTGATATGATCCAGGTTTTGGGAATTTGCTGTTGTTTGCATGCTGCCTTTCGGTGAAACAAAGTCTGGATTAATGATGATTTAAACCGCTCCAAGATAATCATAATGTCAGACATATAAAGCACTCAAGTATAAACCCTTTTGTCGAGAAAGCACACTGATTCATTGACAAAACATGATTTACACCTGTTTTCCCACACTCTAATGATACTTTAATGAGTCCAACACAAAGGCTGCTCTGTGCTGCTCTGGTAGAGGGTGTTTGCATGCGTCAAGGTGTGAATGTGACTTTCCACCAACAATTTTGGACAAGTTTATTCAAAATAACCCATGTTTTTATGAACTCAAGAGGACAAAAACAAAGCTGATGTCTCCAGATGGAGAGCTTTAATGCACTCTTAGGCTCTTTAAAGGGTTAGTTCGGCCAAAAATAAAAATGATCCCATAATTGACTCACCCTCAGGCCATCCTGCTATGTGTATGACTTCTTTCAGCCAAACACAATCTGAGTTAAATTAAAGAATACCCTGGTTTTTCCAAGCTTTATAATGGCAGTGAATGGTACCTGAGATTTTGAAACCCAAAAAGTGCATCCATTCATCATAAAAGTAATCCATAGAAGGGGTTAATAAAGGCCTTCTGAGGTGAAAAATGCGTTTTTGTAAGAAAAATATCCATATTTATAACTTTATAAACTATATACATCATGCAGGTCAGAGATCACTCTTCGCATATGGCTTTTACCAGAAGCTTGTTTATAGTTAATAAAGTTATAATAAATATTGATATGTTTTTTTGTTTTTTTTTAAACATCACTTAACCCCTTGGAGCCTTATGGACTACTTTTATGATGGATGGATGCGTTTTTTGGAGCTTGGAAAAGACAGTTTTTTCAAATGTATTTAACTTAACACTTAATTGTGTTCAGTTGACTTGAAAGAAGAAAGTCATAGGATGGCTTGATTAAAATTATGGGATATTTTTCATTTTTAGGTGAACTAACTTAACCCTTTAATACACTCTTAAAAATAAAGTTTCTTTAACATCCATGGAACTTTTCCATGGGCACAAAAGGAGGAAAAGTGTTATTTTGGACAAAAAGAGAAACAAATGTTTCTTTTAAGATTGTTCACTGAAAGGTCACCCAAAATGGTTATTCTACTGCGAAAAGACCCTTTAACTGCTAAAGTGTGTGCTCTAAACTAATAAGAAGTGACTCCGGATCTACTCACCAAAATATTCCTTTTTCATGTGCAGCTCGAGCTCTTTCTCCAGCTCCAGGGTGAGGGCCTCCAGGCGCCGCTCCGCCTGACTGGGACCGCTGTCCCGGGATGGAGTGACCTGGTACGGGAGCTTGAAGCGCTGCCCCCCGGTGCCCGCTTTCCCGTAGCTAAACGCGATATTGACGTCTGAACTCTCCTGTTGCGGTTCTTCCAGCACGGGAAAAGTTTGGAGATGAACACGGTGGCCGTTTGGCTCAGTGAAGTCCTCCGGTAACGGGATCTGGAGCTCGGGGTAAGCGCTCATCGATCCCCGGGAGCTCCGCGAACTCCTGGAGCTGTGGCTGGAGATGCTCGACCGGGGACTGATCACGCAGTTTGGTCGCACGCTTCCGTCCTGACTGCAGATCCCGTGCACCGCGGAGCTCTCCGGGTCGTGGTTCCCCGCAGGCGTGAAGCGCGAGTCGGAGTAGCTTGAACGCGGGCTTGTGGTGCTCGACCTGGGGCTTATGTGCCGCTGATCATAGCCCATGCTGATACCGCTAGTTCGGTTGCTGCTCGGTTTGCTCCCGCAGTCGTAACCTGTGAGGCTGGTTCTGGGGCTGGAGTGCTTGCTGGTGTCACTGGCCGTGCTCGCGTAACTAGACCGGGGACTGATCACGCTGTTCCCCCCGTCCTGACCGGGTGACACCAAGCTGGACCGCGGGCTGCTGATACTCGACCTCGGGCTGGTGTGTTTGCTCTGATCCTGCGACGAGTGAGTGGAAGCCAAGCTGGACCGGGGGCTCGTGCCCGCGTACCTGCCGTCGGGGTTGGCCAAACATAAGCTGTTGCTCCTCGCGCCCGAAACGGGCACCTGTTTCCCCGGAACGAGCCCTTCATATGCGCAGCCGGTGCTGTACCGGTGCACCTCCGCGTGCGTGTATCTTCTGAGACGGTCCGACGCGCCGCTGTAACACGGCAAGGCAACTTCAGATTTGGTGCAGTACGCGTCGGGATCGGGGTAAACCGATTCCCTTTGCGGAGAACAGAAATCCAGAGGCACTGAGGGTCGGTTACCGTTGACGGAGCGCACGGGAGCCGCGCCGTAGACTTTGTTCCCGGAGCTGCCATTCATTCGCTTAGTTTTCTCCATGTCGGGGTTCGGCTCCCCGTATATCCCATCCCGATAAGCGTCATATATGGAGAGGTTTTCCATCAGTTTGCTCGCTCTGCGCCCCGGATCCTCGTCATATTCATCCATGTCGCGCGGCGAGTTGAGGGACGTTGAACGCGGGAGCGCGCGGAGCACTAACTACAACACAAACTGCATTTTACACGGAAAAATGCCGCCTCAGGCGAGCCATCGTTGACTGTTCGCGCTTACTCTAGTCCATCACCGTCATTTCGTCACGATACATGATCCCCGTGCGTCGATATGTGGCGATTCAGTCGTCGTGACAAAGTTTCCTCACAAGCGAACGTTTGTCAATTTCAGTTTTTGTAAAGTTGAAAGGTCTTTACAGTCAATGGCGCGCTGCGCGGAGGAATTTTCTCGCTTTGATTTTACGTGATTGTTTCTGCAAACTTGTTTCCAGCGAATCCAACTCGCCTGAAATTCCTCCCAGAAAATTTCGCAACAATCTGGAGAGATGTTGAGTGCGGAGACGAACGAGAATGCGTGTTTTAAACGATGTATTTAGGACTAGTTTGTGTAAGAGGAATGCGCGGAGGGAGACGAGTGGCGCTGCGGCGCTCTGGAATGTGGTTAATGCCGGAGCGAAACAATGATAGAGAGCAACTCAGCAAGGGGGAGCAGAATCCTGAAAAAAAGTCCTTTGGAGAGCCTATGTGTGTCCACTTTCATCCAGCGGGCCAGATTAAAGATTTAACCACACAGACCAGCCCTCAGAAAATAATTAAAATCTAAACTGAACATCTCTAAACTTTAAACAAGAGGCAAATCTTTTATACTATTGAATTGTTTATATTCTTGAGGGAATATAACGAGTAGCCTATTAATAAAACTCCTGTGCAAGTGAAATCTCTCTATATGATTTGTAATATTCTACCTGTCTTGTATTTCCCAGGTAGTTTATGCATCAAAAACAATAGTGCTATCATGCACGTATAGCAGGCCAGCGAGTGTTTGAACCGAATCTGGGGGAAGGGCAGATCCCAAACATTTCATTGTACATCAGTGACAAAAGCTATTGTCACGAACTATGTTTTCCATCACCATAGAATACAGTGGCTCACATTTTGACACTTGAGACACTTTTAAAAGCAAGCACACTTTTCAAGCAAAACGTTTGACAAACTGGTTTGGGTTGAACAACTAAAACTAAAAGATAAAATGAAGACATTGTATGACTTTGTGTCATATTTGTTTGCGGTTAGAGAAACATGTTGATAATTCATGTGATGAGCTGCACCGATCACCGCTGACTGAGAACTGAAGGACAACTTGATTTATCTATTTCTATTCAATGACATTCATACCTTTTATGCAATACCTTTTTTATAGAGGAAAAAAGCAAATATTTAAGCATACAGCCTATGAATTATGCATGCATCAATTAAAAAAAATGTTTGTTTGTTTGTTTGGATAAAATTGTCTAATGCATAAATGCAATTTAGTGCAAAGATACAGTGCAAAAATAATGTATTATATATATATATATATATATATAGCTGTCAAATCAATGAATTGCAACACAGAATTTTGTTTATATATGTGAGTGTCAGTATACACTCATATTATATAAACAAACTTTTATGTTAGTTCTTCCAATTAATCTATTTGACAGCACTAATACACACTGAAAACATTTTTGTGATCTCAAATGTTTGGTCCTTACAGTACATACAACACATACACTGTAAAAAAAATATTTTCATGATTTGTAATCACAAGATCTTTTCTTTTGTCAAATCAACTTAAATAATTTAGGTAGTTTATAGAACATAATATTTTGAGTTTCTGATGATTAAATCAATTTTTTCAAACTCAATTTTTCCATTTCAATGAACTTAAAATTTTAAGGCAACAACTTCATTTTTTTAAGTTAAAACAACAATATTTGAAGAGTTCAGATGCAAAAGCCTCTAAGTGCCATTTGAAATTTTGTTCTAAAATGACCATTTTTATCAAGCTTGTGCATTTAAGTTCAGTAATTTCACTTAAATGACAATTAATAGGTAATCTTCATTGCCATTTAAGTGAAATTACCGAACTTAAATATACAAGCTTGATAAAAATCATCATTATAGAAGAAAATTTCAAATGGCACTTACAGGCTTTTGCATCTGAACTCTTCATTTGTTTACAGTGTATAATTTATTTGAACCAAAAAGCACAATTGTATTTTTTAAGTAATTTAATATTATTGTACATAAGGGAGATCATTTAAAATCCCCCCACAATTCATTTAAACCCTTCGAGGAAAGGACAAGAGTGGAAATAAAAATGATCAGCATTTAGTCTTTACAGCCTTCTACAATAACATGAACCCTCACATAAGGCACAGGCCTGAAATGAAAGCCAACGCACATTTCAGTGTCCCACAACTGGAAGGCAGGACAGAACCACGGCAGCAAACGCGACCACCAAAACAACATCTAAAATTAGTTTCCTAATTGGCGACCGGCTGCTCTTTTTCCCGTGACCTCTGCCTCGAAACCATTGCACCACATCTTCCAGGTCATACTGTTTCGGCTCGTATCCCAGCTCTTCTCGTGCCTTACGCATACTGAAATAATGCGTGACGCCCGTCTTGTAGACCTCAGTACGGGTCAGCAGGGGCTGGAAGTTATAGATCCGACCCACGGCATGGTGAAGCATCTCGGTCAGGAACGCGAAGAGGTATATGAGCGATATCGGCAGTCGAAGCGTGGGGAACGAGTATCCCAGACCCTCAACCAGAGGCCTGAAAAACTCAAAGTTGTTGACAGGCCTTCCATCAGAGATGAAATAGGGCTGACCGGCGGCACAGTGCTGCTGCTTTTCCGTTAAAGCCTCGGCTGCTAACACGTGAGCGGACACTAGATTATCCACGTGAACAAACTCCACAAGACTGTCAGGATCTCCGTACACAAACCTAAAGATCCCCTTCTCGATGTAAGTGACGATCCTGGGCAGGTGCCTTTGCTCCCCGGGGCCGTATATCCCAGCTGGACGCAGGGCACAAGTCCGTAACACACCTGTGCTGTTACTCAGCGGTGAACCGTTTGCTTTCAACACCTGCATCTCAGCGATAGACTTGGTCCTGGAGTAGTGATCCGGGTGCAGGTGCAAGGGCAGGTACGGCAGACTTTCGTCCCCGTTCTTAATCTCCTGACCACCGAACACTACGTTATATGTGCTGGTGTAGACCAGCCGGGGGACTCCGTGTGCCACGCACGCCCTGAGGACGTTCTCCGTCCCCTTCACGTTCACCTCGTCGATGAGTTTCGCATTGAGCTGCTCCCGTCCTGACATCCCATAGGAGGCGACGTGGAACACGCAGTGAACGCCTCGGACGGCTTCTTCCACCTGCGCGTAATCCCGGATATCTGCCCGCGTGAACACCACTCCCTCGGGAAGCTCTTGGCTCGGGGGGTTCGTATCGAACAGCACGACGTTTGAGGAGGTTTGGAGGAGAGCACTGGCGAGACTGAAAGAGAGAACAGCGAACAATCAAGCTTTTATTACAACAGGGCTAAAGGCACACCTGCTTTTCACTAGTGTACGACTGCAGGAAAAATATATACTGGTGTGGTTTTATTTGAAACATTGATGTAGAAACAGATTTGGTGTGAAAATAAATCATAAAAATCGTACAAATGTATGCCCACAGACCCACTGATACAAATACTTTAGCTAAATTATATTTTTTATACTATTTAGATATTAAAATTCAGTTAATGCTAGTTCAAAACTATCACTTTAGCAAAGTTTGTAGTATTTTCGGTTTATTTTGACAAAAATAGATCTTTTTTTTTGTTCTACTGTCATTAAAATGTGTTTATTTTAAAAATACAGAGATAAAATCATTTTTTCAAAAGTTAAGATTCTGAAAGCATTGAATGAGATCCATAATAATTTAATATAGCTTTACAGTAACAAATAAATATTTCATTTGACATTTATCATATCATATGATAAATATCACATTTGTAAAAACGACGGTTTCATTATAAATATGTTGATTATCATATTTATGATAAAGTGTCAAATTAAATATTAAATTTTTATGGGATGTCATTCAATGCTTTCAGAATCTTAACTTTTCAAAAAAAAATTTTATCTCTGTATTTTTAAAATGAACACATTTTAATGACAGTAGAACAAAAATAATTCTTTTGTCAAAATACAGGGATAAAATTATTTAAACAAAAAGTTAAGATTCTGAAAGCTTTGAATGAGATCCCATAGTAATTTAATTTAGCATTATAGTAACAAATAAATATTTCATTTGACATTTTATCATATGATATGATTAATATCACATTTTGGTTTCATAAATATGTTGATTATCATATTTATGATAGATCAGATAGCAGTGGGCGACTTTTACCCCAAAATACCATCCTTTTACATATTCTTCATAATTTTTAAAAAGTGAATAGTCAAGTGCGCCTTTAGCCCCGTTGTATCCAACATTTTATTATCCTGTAAAAATGTTAAGCAAAAAAAGTACATAAACTGAATAAAACATATGGGATTTTGCGATATTTAACAAACCTTAAAAACTCAAGTTTTATTAAATTGGAAAAATACTACTAATACTACGATGCACAACTCTCTAGAGTAGGAACTTATTTTCAATACGCAATTACTAAAAAAAAAAAAAAAAAAAAAAAAAACAGCTCATTTGTAGAGGAATGAAAGTCTTAAAATGATTGTGTAAGATAAGGGCATACAAATGTGTACTGCTGGAACAGGATTGGGATCTACTGTAGTGTGATGGCGCTCTCTTGTGGTTCATGGAGGTACTCCTATTAGGGTTATGTGGAAAATAAGACAAAAAGATTGTAAGATGTCATAAAACCTTACCGGAATCCGAAATAACCTCCTCCACCGGTTATGAGGAAGGTTTTGGCTGTTCTGTTGACTTCCATTGTGTTAAAAAAGCAGGGTGAATAAAATCTGCAAAAAAAGTAAAAAAAAAAAATTTAGCCCTATACATCCAGTACAGGTCAAAAGTTTGGAAACTATTTTTTGATGTTTACTATTTTTATTACTAATCAAATTATTACCATTTTTAATGTTTTTTGAAAGAAGTCTCTAATGCTCATCAAGCATGCATTTATTTAATCAAAATACAGACAAAAATTACAACATCTTAAAGTAATGGTTTTCTATTTTAAAATATTTTAAAATGTAATTTATTCCTGTGATCAAAGCTGAACTTTCATCATTACTCCAGTCTTCATCACAAATCACTCTAATATGATGATTATATGATATGATGACATCATATGAATGATATGATTTTTTTTTTTTTTTAAAGAACATTCATTTATTTAAAATATATATCTTTTGTAACACTAGCGTTCAAAAGTTTGGGGTCAGTATTTTTTCATTTTTTTCTTTTTTGAAAGAAAGAAAATGAGAAATTAATACTTTTATTAAGCAAGTGTGTGTTAAAGTGATAGTAAATATTTATATTGTTAAAAAGATTAAAAAGATCTGTTTTGAATCAATTCTGTTATTTTTAACTTTTATTCATCAATGAATCCAAAAAAAGTATCACATGTAGCAAAAAATAAAAATAAATAAAAAAAATAAGCAGCACTGTCACGTCACATCAAATCATCGAATTAGAATGATTTCTGAAGGATCGTGTGACACTGAACACTTTTGCTAATCATTCTATTATAGAATTAATTGCATTTGAGTGAAATGATAATAGTTCAATCAGACTATGCTTTATGCTATGCTATGATTCAAATGATGTCTAATATTCATGCAGACTCTGGAAATGGATGAGTTGGCAGCAGCAGGCAAAATATATTAATCATAACATAATTATATTAATCACGTATTAAATGACTTTGAAGTCTCTCTTGACTCCAGCAGTGTTAAGTAACATCGATGTGCTTTTATAAAAAAATACATAGGCTAAACACGACTTATACAAGATCTAACAGAACCTGCACAGAAAACATCCAACGCAGTCTGTAAAACGGTTAACCATAACCTTATACAACATTAATATAAATATAAATACATACCAGTACAATCGCGGTTTGAATCGATCGTAAAGTGTGTAAAAACCTGCACTTCCTAGGAAACGCGTGAATGGGCGGGACTACATGGTGAATCGTATTCATTGGATAAGAGTGAGCTGGGCCTCGCTGTGATTGGCTGAAAATGAACTCTGTCCGATATTCATTACAAATAGATAAGAGATGCACATTAGTGTACCGGTACATTGATACTATTTTAAAATACTTTGAAAAAATATGCACTGTGGTTTACGATGGAGTTGCCTTTGTAATACACACTAAAAGTCCCTAGAATTCTTTAATATCTATCTATCTATCTATCTATCTATCTATCTATCTATCTATCTATCTATCTATCTATCTATCTATCTATCTATCTATCTATCTATCTATCTATCTATCTATCTATCTATCTATCTATCTATCTATCTATCTATCTATCTATCTATCTATGCCTCGACGTTCAGTACTTGGTACACATACAGTATTGCAGATGCCAGTAATTATAATAATCATAATAAACATTTCACATGACTAAAATGTACAATTTGAAAGAAAAACAGAGATAAGATTTACGTCAACAAAACTGTTCCACTGCCAAGGACAAACACTCATACTGTTGTCATGACAGCGTTCAATCATGAGAAAGGGGCTGGGGGCGTAGTGGGCGTGAGCTGCGCCGTGGGGGCGTGTCCGCGCGCCCGCTGAGAGGATGTACATCGGTGTAGTTTCCAGTTTCCACGGAGCATTTGTCCAGCTAACGCTCCGCTCGTGTCATATCCACGGGGAAACGATTTCCGTGGAAGCGTAGCGCACTCTTTGACAGTTCGCCTTTTATTTGTATCTTTCTGGGGTTCATATCGACGCAGGTTGGCATCCTGGCGCGGAACATGAACATGGCCGCGCTACTCCCCGAGGTTCGAGGACTTCAGACCGAAGAGGTAAAATAATTCAGCTGTCATATCATGTGACGTGTAATATCAGTCATAGAAATTCTGTTATATTGCATAAATATCACCGCTGTCCACAGCTCTTATGTCATATGGTCTCTCTGGGATCCGGTGGGTCTCTGAGATGAAGTTCTGCTCCACTTTGGGTTATGATAACAGTATGACGTGCTGTTTGTTTACTTAACGATGCACAACTGACATATAACCATGTTTTCTTTAGATTAAGAAAGGATGTGTTTGATTTGCTGATAAATATCACTTTATTTCATTGATATTGTAGTCTTGTGACTCTCAAGTGTCACTCTTCTTGCGCAATATCTAATTACTGGCTTGTATGACGCCAGATAGCGCATGTCACATGTTTTATAATATATAGCATATTTTTGATCCCATGTGGCACATATCATAATAGTATATTTATTGTTCGTTGTTTTTTTATGGGGAAGTTGCTGTCGTTTTTTTTTATTTTTTTTATTTTTTCACTTTTTCGGATATAATCATAGCACATGTTTTTAAGACGTCATCATAACTGCATTTTGATAGCTTTTGCTTGTTACTTTTGAGGATATGCATATTATATGTAGGCTATACAGTACAGGTCAAGGGTTTGGAAACATTACTATTTTTAATGTTTTTGAAAGTCTCTTAATGCTCATCAAGCCTGCATTTATTTGATCAAAAATACAGATTTTGTTTTTAAATATTGTGATATATTATTACAATTTAAAATAATAGTTTTTCTATTTTAGTATTCTTTAAAATATAATTTATTCCTGTGATCAAAGCTGAATTTTCAGCATCATTTACTCCGGTCTTCAGTGTCACATGATCCTTCCCTTCAGAAATCATTCAAATATCCTGATTTATTTTCAAAGTTTTAAACAATTCTGCTGCTTAATATTTTTTCATAACCTGTAAAAACCCTAACCCATAGCCCTAACCCTTTTTAGGATACTTTAATTAATAAAAGTTATTAAAAAAAATGGAAATCTTTTTTTAACAATATAAACCGTTCAATAGTTTGGGGTCAAGTTTTTTTTCTTTATTTTTTTTAAATAAATCAATACTTTTATTCAGCAATGTGTTAAATTGATAAAGAGTGATAAATGAAGATTTATATTATTAGAAAATATTTTTAATTTGAATAAATGCAGTTATTTTTAACCTTTTGTTCATCAAATATATTAAGCAGCTGAACTGTTTCCAACATTGATAATAAATCAGGATTTTAGAGTGATTTCTGAAGGATCATGTGTCACTGAAGACTGGAGTAATGATGATGAAAATTCAGCTTTGGTCACAGAAATAAATTACACTTTACTATATATTCAAATAGAAAACCATTATTTTAAGTTATTATAATATTTCACAATATTACAGTGTATTTTTGATCAAATAAACACAGCCTTCATAAGCATTAGAGAGAGACTTCTTTCAGAAATATAAAGAAATCGCAATGTTTCCATTTCCAAACTTTTGACCGGTAGTATGTAAATTGAAAATAGACTATTTTTTCCTATTTTTAGGAAAATAGACCAAAAATAATGATTTCATCTTGCATTAATGCATTCTGGACAATCAAATGTTCTCTGAAAGAAGAATGCCCCTCCCACTTATGAGTCAAAGTGGATCAAACTTCCTCTTTCTGTAGGAAATGCATCTTCTTAAACCTCTAGGCAGTTTAATTTTTGATGTTCATTGTCATTTGTGAACCTTGAATATTTTTTTGCTTTCCTTCAGGATGAATCCAGGATCTTAAGGGTGAAAATCATTACTGGAATTGGTTTGGCCAAGAAGGACATTTTGGGTGCCAGGTCAGTACATCGGGTTGTTATGAGCCATTGCACCACACTAGATCATTTTAATGGACATATTAAAATTATGTTAATTTTACATATTAAAATCAGATCATTTTAATGGACATATTAATTAATAGACATATTAAAATGACGGTCAGGCTGATTAAACAGCAGATACTTGACCATTTTGGCATTAGATAATATTATACAAACTGGCTTTTCAAAACAAGCAAAAAATTGTGTAAAATGTGCTTATTTTCAACAATCTTATGTCTCATCATCTTTAAATATCACCCGAAGAAAAGCCCATACGCTTGACGATCAATTACGGTCCTTTTCTCTGCTTGAATGAGAGTTTGTGTGTTCTTTAAATGCCCAGTTCAATTGTTGAACAAGGTTTTTCCCCATAATTTTATTCAACACTCACTCAAAGTCACGTTTTTGGTGCATCAGCATAGTCTCTAGACATTTTAAGTTGTTTGCTTTATATACCCGCTCCGCCAGCATCATGTTCTGGTCACGTGTGCACGCACATTCAGTTTGTTATGAAAACACAAAATAGTTTATCTATGCCTCATGTATCCTGCATAACAGACAATCTGACACCCATACAGGCTTTCATCAGTTCCTAAAAAAAGCTTTTTACAGAGTTGGATTCAGTAAATCTGATTCATTTAAATATTTAGCTGAATCGTTTTTGACATCATAACATTGATTTTGATGTCAGCATGAAATTACGTTCTTAATGCACATTTTTTTGACTTTATTATGCCCGTTTTGTCATATTCAGCTTCATTCTGCTACTTTCATCATCAATCTATTCCCAAAAGTGTAAAATCACGTCCCGTCCTACTTTTTTTTCGCCCTCCTGCGAAAGTAAAAATAGTGATATGGGTTACATTTTGACCCTTAATGATTGTTTAGTTTAATATTTATCCATTTGCCCATTTATTTGATCTAGGTTTGCTTTGTAATACAATGCAAGCTTGGTATTTTGCCAAGAAAAGTTATTTACAAGCCACCACATGCTAAGGAATTCATATTATGCATAGTCTACAATGAACTGCATGCTGATGGGAACGTCCCGGACCGGTTGCGTCCCACAGTACAGTAGATGGCAGTGTTAGCAGCCGTCCTGGCCGTCCTTGAGGAATCAAACAGATCGGGCCGTGCTCACTTTGACCTAAATAACACAGCTTTAGGTATGCAATCGATATCTGTGCTGAGCGATATCATCTCTCCTTCTCTGTAAGACTCGCTTGGAAGAGGCCAGATATTCAGTGAAGACATTCAGCGACTCAAATGAAACAGCTGAAAGATTGTGTCTTGTGTCTTCCTGATGTTGCACGTAGGTTAAATGATCCCAATATAATTAATCTGAACTAGAAAGAATCGTTCTAGACTGTATGGAGGAAACCTGACTTGTTATGGTTAGTAAAGATAGATCCATCCAGTATCACATGACCACTAATCCTGCAAATAACAATGGAACGTGACCGCATTACTAAAATATTTAGTAACACTTCCTGTATGACTCAGATTGTCATATTGTTTGCTTATGTAATATTTGTCTGTTTTCCTTTCATCCGCAAGTGATCCGTACACAAGAATCTCGCTCTATGACCCGGTCAACGGAGAAATCACCAGTCTACAGACCAAAACCATTAAAAAGGTATGTGTAGTCAGACCTTCTATTACACAAATCATCTTTTTTGTCAGGAGATGTTGGACAAGATTTCTTCATCTTTCTGTTCTTGTCTGTTTTTTAGACATTGGATCCGAAGTGGAATGAAGAATTCTTCTTTAGAGTAAGTGAACGGGTATTTATAAAGATCACATCCGCTGGCAATGAGTTGATGAAATGCTAATAATGAATTAAATCATACAAATAAAAGAAAAAATATATATATTTACAAGAATTACTAAAAAAAAAAAAGAATTTAAAATATTGTTAACCTGTATGTCATGTGACCATTAGCACCATTAGAACATGCAATCTGTTGTTAAATTATTGGAATATTAACTTTATTAAAAAAAAATATTAAAATTAAAAATTGTATTTTTTAAAAATTATTTTAGGTCAAAGGGGTTTGGCTTGGAAAAAAGTTTAAAAAAATCTTATTATCAATACTTTAATATATAAAAAATAATTAAAATAAATAACAATATAATAATAATAATATATACTGTATATATGAAGAGTTCAGATGCAAAAGCCTCTAAATGCCATTTGAAATTTTCTTCTTTAATGATGATTTTTATCAAACTTGTATATTTAAGTTCAGTAATTTCACTTAAAAGGCAATGATAATTACCTATTAATTGTTATTTAAGTGAAATTACTGAACTTAAATATACAAGTTTGATAAAAATCATCATTAAAGATGAAAATTTCAAATGGCATTTAGAGGCTTTTGCATCTAAACTCTTCATATATATATATAATTTACATTTAGAACTACATTTGTAAAGTCTACATTTGTAAAATACTATCTTATAATTAAATCATCATATCATATAATTAAAATAAATAACAATATAATACATACATACATATATATATATATAATTTACTTTTAGAACTACATTTGTAAAGTCATACTATCTTAATACATAAGATCTATCTTAATAAATACATTTAGTTTAGACAAGACAATAAGTTACATGTTTGGGCATGTAAAGAGAGAGGTGCAATCACATGTTTTGGGGTCAGAGGTCAGGGTTGAGTTACGGGGAGCTTTTGAGATGTAGGGTGCCACTTACATTCTGTGCACTTTCCCTGCTGTTATGTGACGCATTTACTGACGCGTTGTGCATATCTCTCCCCCATAGACATCGCTCGTTTACTCAGCAAGACAGATGCTGCTGCAATACAGTGGCAACATCAAAATAAAGCTCTTTCCCATTTCAAGATGTTCTGAAGACTCATCAATACTTTATATAAGGCATATTGAGCTTAGAAAAGTAGTTATTTTAGCACGATTTGAGGCTTCAATGAAAGCAAATGACTCGCATGATCTTCATTGCAATGTTTATTTTTTGATCGGCGACCTACTGTAGGACTAGTGCATATTCTGAAGTGTTTATTATTAATTTTACACACCTATAATTTTTGTGTTTAGAATTGTAAAACTCTATACCTGCTCTAATCCTTGATTGCAGTGTGGTTTCAGACTTTTTTTTTACCTTTCTGTGTGTGTGTTTGTGTGAGTTTTATTTCTTTGCATGCAAATAAATGACATGCTGTACCTGATATTTAGTGCATGAGTCATGACTATAATGATCTAAACAGTGGCTTTAAAGATTCTGACCTATTTGCGATACTGACCACTGGCCCAAATACCAACATAGGGACTGAATGAGACACACTGTTATGAGTCACTCTCCATTTACAGGCCTAAAGTCAAAGGAAATGAATGGAGGATGAACTCAGTTTGCATGTAATGAGACATGCAAAAATAAATTATGTTTATTAGTCCATAAATGAACAGTAGTACAGTTTTTTATGTGTCTTCTTTTATCTCCCGCAGGTGCATCCCAGGAAACACCGTCTGCTGCTGGAGGTGTTTGATGAAAATCGTTTGGTATGTTCATGAGAGCCTTGGTTTACTGTGATCAAAATGTGCTAGAGATGTTTTTGCACTACTGTTTAAAAGTTTGGTGTACAGTTAGTTCAATGAAAACAGTTATATTGTGAAATATTACAATTAAAAAAATATCTTTCAAACTGTAATTTATTCAAAGTCTTCAGTGGTAAATAATCCAATTTGCTGATTTGATGCTCAAGAAACATTTCTGATTAGGTCCAGGTTGTAACCAGTTGAGCTGCGTAGCCCTCAAACCGTATTCACTTTATAGCCCTTAATCCTGTAATTGTGGACAAATGTGGGCACAGAGGACTCGGGTTTGATCCTTATTTTTATTTATTATAAATGTTATATCACTGTCTTCGATAAAGTTTTGTCTATCCATTTATGGTGTTTTTATTTTATTTGGCGGGTATTTTTGAATTTATTTACTTCAAAAAGTACCATATTTTCAATGTAAATTATGCTTATTTTTATGTTTTATTTTTATTACATTAAAATATCATTCCAATAAGTTCTTCGAGCTAAAACCTAAAGATGAAGTGACTTTGCTGTCACCTGGTGTCTTATTTTGGCTTATTTTAGAATGCTCTAAACTACAGTTTTTCCCATTCATTTCTATGGGTGCCCATTTTTGACCCAAATACAAGATTAAGGAGTTTTTTTTCACACACTTAACATTGTAGAATTGAGTCAAAAAAAATTGTGTGTGTGTTCAGGAGGCAAACTTAGTACCACTCAGATCAAGGGAAGAAAAATTTCCCTTATTAAAAAAAAAAAAAAAAAAAAAAAAATCTAAACTATTTTGCCCACATTTGTCCAGAATACAGTTTTAGAGTTAAATTCTTGTGGAAACCATGATACATTTTCTTTGATGTATAGAAAGTAAAAAAAAAACCAGCATTTATTTGAAATAGAAATATTTTGTAACTTTATAAATGCCTTTACTGTCACTTGTGTTCAATTAATGCATCCATGCAAAATTAAAGTATTAATTACTTTTGATAAAAATCAAACTTTTTAAACATTCGTGTAGTAGATGAGTGAACTCGACGTTTAAATTGACAGATTTAAGTTTCCATTAATACATTCTATGTCTATGTTTTGCTATTGAATTAGCAAATAAATTGTTAAAAGGTGCTGTGTATAATTTCCGCTCCACTAGTGGCACCAATTGGCATTGTTGAGTGTCCTAATAAAGAAATGTTGCTTTAATTTGAGGCAGGACTATTTGTTTGGCTGTACAATGGCAGACGTGTTAGTTTGGTAATGAGACCATTCACAGTTCAGCAGTCTCAAATGTCCTGGGCATGTTAGTGTTGGGTTCAGGTCTGTAAAATCAGCAGCTACCTGAGTGTCAGTGTGTAATGAATGAACAAGGATGCCTTTTTGCAAGTAGCCACCATAAAGCTCAGGTATGGGAACTGAAATGTACCTTTGGGTGTTGTAAATGTGAAAAGTAACTGCTTGAAAACGCATAAAAGTCAATGAGGCATGAGCGGTGTTAGGGGGTTTTCTCCGTCACATGCTGACAGCTTCCTTACTGAATAACGAGGAGGGTTAAACAAACCATAGCATAAAGGACCCAGTGTTCAAGTAACTCCTGATAAGACTGTAAACTGCAGTCGTCTTCCTGTATGTGACAAGTAAACCCAGTTACTGAGTGTAAGAAAAACCGATATGCCATTGCCAGAATGTGTTTGTTGGCATGAACCAAGCATGCATGCTATTTCCATCTCCTGAGGAATGTGTTAGCTTACAGAAAGGAAGACAAATCATTTGAGACTTTTGACAGTAGATGATCAATCTCACTTGCATGCCATTGCCTTTATTCTTTGTTTTATAATTTCCAAATCCCATGTGCACAAAATTTAAAGGAGTAGTTCACTTTTGAAAAAAACTTTTGCTGATAATTTACTCACCCCCATGTCATCCAAGATGTCCATATTTTTCTTTCTTCAGTCTAAAAGAAATTAAGGTTTTTGATGGAAACATTCCAGGATTTTTCTCCATATAATGGACTTCAATGGGAACCAAACAGTTCAGGGTCCAAAAGACACTTTCAGTGCAAACTGCAAACTGTTCAAACTGCAAACTGTTCTTTAAACGATTCATCAAAATGAACTAATCTTTTTCCAAGTCAATTCGTTCGTTTCATTCGTTGAATGAACCAACTGACTCGGGAAAAGATTCGTTCATTTTGATGAACGAGTTCGAAGAGGAGAGTCACGAACGCGCATCACAGAAGCATTTGAGCTTATAAAACATAAATTTTGTTATTTATTTATTAAATGAGCAATCGTTTCGATTGATAAGACCCTTATTCATCATCTGGAATCGTTTAAAGCCCTTTGAACAGTTTGCAGTTTGCACTGAAACTGTCTTTTGGACCTTGAACCGTTTGGACCCCATTGAAGTCCATTATATGGAGAAAATCCTGGAATGTTTTCATCAAAAACATTAATTTCTTTACGACTGAAGAAAGAAAGACATGGACATCTTGGATGGATGACATGGGGGTGAGTAAATTATCAGCAAATTTTTTTTCAAAAGTGAACTACTCCTTTCATTTAATGAATTGTTCATTCACGTCATAAGCAGGACGATTTCCGAAACTACAGTACTCCTGAATTACCCCGGGTGCAATTGCCCCCTGATTGATGAGATGGCTTTTCTCTGACAGAAGCATGCTCTTAAATGGCTGCAACAGCGGGTGTCGGATGACACATGATGTTGCAGTGGCACATGCCCATATGTGAGCTGGCACAACAAGCTCAGTGCTTGATTTTGGAGGCACTCTTACATTTCCTTCTGCTAGTTTTGAAGCTATCAGTGCAGAAATGAGCAAAATGCAACTCCGGCATATCCCCCGACGGCTCAGAAAGCTTAAAAAAAAAATGACGGCAAAACTCGTTTTCTGTAACTCTATCCTGGTGGGGTAAAAATATTAGCTGGGGTGCAGCTTTACAAGAAACTCTAGACACCGGGCTGCAACTTGTGTAAAAAGGAGGTGGCAGAGACGAGGGACGAGCTGTTCCACCTCCATCCTGGCATGCACGCAGATTGTTGTGTTTTTTTTGCAGTGGGGTGACCAGCTGTGGGAGGGAGGGCACCCGTGCCTGAATCGGTGCTTGCGAAACCACAGAAGGCACAGCTGAGGCTTTCTGTTGCCTCAGTAAAGCTAGATCTGTAGATGCAAACACTCTCACGTTTGATCCGTCATGTTTCGAGAGGAATGCCTTCTGTTATTTCGGCTTAATGGAACCGATCGCAGCACGGGACCAGTTGCTTTTTTCCACTCGTTTTATATTCGTTAGTTTGGGGTTCCTTCATTCCACTGGACCGGCATGGCGCGACACCTTCGACTGCATTTCGCTTCGCGTAGAAGCAACACCGATCCGCTCTCGGAAACGTGCAGCGCTCAAGCCGAGGAAAGCGTGCGCATGTCCGGACACATGAAGCTGACCCCAGGACAGCTGGCTCTAGCTTTGCCACCCTTGTCGCCAGAAAACGGTAATTTACAACGGCACCCCACCCTAGTTATGCCCAAGGTGAACGGGAGCAAAAAAAGCACGCTTCAGATCTCCTTACAACCTTGCAAGCAGAACGGAGACGCGGACGGCGGGGAAGACGGAGAGAAGGACGGAAACGGGGATGGAGGTTCGTGCTGCAGCAGCACAACAAGCGACGCCGGATATTGCAGCAGCAACAGCATATTCGAAGCGGATCTCCCGGATCGCAAGCCGATTGCTCGGCGGAAAGCGAGGGCGCCGTTACGGCGCTGCTCGTCTTTGGTTATTTTCCCACGGAGCCCGTGCACCACGCCGCCCGCCTCGCCCGTTAGTCCGGTTGCGTCTCCGATGATTCCTCCGCTCCCTCCGTCAGCACGAAGCTCCTTCCAAACCTCTCATCAGATGCAGCTGTCCAGCACCGATGCGTCTCACGAGGACAAGGGATCCATCGCCACTGCAGTTAATGGTCTACGCTTGTCTAAAAACAGCACGTCAGCGGAGCACCGAGACGCCAAACCCATCGTGCACTTCAGCGTGCCACCGGAGCAACCCGAAAGACACTCCAGCGTTTTATTGCACTTCGCAAACCAGAGACCGCTTCCCTCGGGGAAAGTAAGTTCGGCCAAAACTAAGCTTAACGTCGACTGTCCCAAACCTCTCGAGGAGCCTCAGAAAGCCAAGCTTTTCCGCAGCACCTCGGCTTGTGTGTTGCCCAGACCATCGTCGACGGAAAGAAGGCACAACACTTTCCCGACTGCTTGTAGTTTGCATCAGTCTTCAAAGAAAGGATCTCATCCCATCCTTCATAGGAGTATTTCTCTGGAGTTACCCTGTGCGAACGCTGAGATATCTTGTCACGTTTCAAACGCTGCAGACTTGCACTCCACGAACGGCCCTCCGCATGTACACATCCACGTATCGCACGGGACAGGTGCCAGAAAATCAAACACCGCGCAGGACAACGGCATCAACAACACAACGTGTCACGTGCCGACCTGCGCTGAGAGAAATTATACCGTAAGGCTTCCCGTCTATCTAGCACTTAAGGGTGTAATTTTATCCGTAGAAATTTAGTAGTTTTGTAGATTACGTGATTTGTGGAGTCGATTGTTTTCAACGAGGAAGTGGTTTGCTCTAGTTCTCATTGAATAGGAGTTTGAACATCTGTGGATTGAATATTGTGCAATGATTGAGCAAACACACATTGTACCTAAAGTTCCCTAAAGTAGCTTGATGCATAATAGAGAGTAATGCATTGTAGCCCTCAAAACTGTAATTGTGGACAAATGTGGGCACAGAGGACTAATTTTTATTTATTATAAATGTTATATCACTGTCTTCCATAAAGTTTTGTCAATCCATTTATGGTGTTTTTTTTTTTATTTTGGGGGTATTTTTGCATTTATTTACTTCAAAAAGTACCATATTTTCTATGTGAATTATGCTTATTTTTATGTTTTATTTAAAAAAAAAATTTTAACTACATTAAAATATCATTCCAATAAGTTCTTCGAGCTAAAACCTAAAGATGAAGTGACTTTGCTGTCTTATTTTGGCTTAATTTTAGAGTGCTCTAAATTAATTTTTTTCCATTCATTTCTATGGGTGCCCATTTTTGACCCAAATACAAGATTAAAGAGGGTTTTTTTTTCACCCACGTAACATTGTAGAATTGAGTCAAAAAAAATTGTGTGTGTTCAAGAGGCAAACTTAGAAAAAGTATCCAAGTCTTGTACCGCTCAGATCAAGGGAAGAATTTTTAAAAAAAATAAATCAAAACTATTTTGCCCACATTTGTCCAGAATACGGTTTTAGGGTTAACATGTGATTATGAAATTCCCAAATTATTTACAGTCCATTTAAATTTTTATTTGAAGGTGTCATTGTTACAACATGTACTTACTACGGGTTTATGGTCAGATTAGAGCTTGGTTTAGGGTTAGTTGCATCCAATTATGCATTATTTACAGTTATTACTATAGTAAGTGCATGTAACATATGTTACAAGGACACTGTAAAAAAAAAAGTGTTACCAAATATTTAAACCGCATACATGCAAACCTCTCTCAGTGTTTATCTGCAAACCCGCGGGAGCTAATTTCAGCTCTTTGCATTTGACATTGATGATTAATTTATAATAACTAATAATAACTTTAAACAGTGTTTATTTGCAATGGTTTGCTAATCCATTTAGGCTTAAAAATTGCAGTCGCCTGCTTGCACAGCACATTTTACAGGCTTTTTCAGATTTTATTCATTTGTTAACACTCACTGTATGTATTTACCTTTGGGATAATTATAGACAGTGGTCCCCAAACCTCCCCCCAGCCCTCCATCTATAAATACAGCCTTGAAAATATTCTGCTTGACTCCAGTTAGTCTGGTTGAGGACCATGCTGGATTCAACATGATATGCAGGAGCTGCACATGGCTGTCTGTCAGCTGTTGGGTCAAAGGTCAGCTGATGGGGGGGGGGGTTGTGATGTGATTCCTTAAGGATAACATGTGCGCTTCCCAGCGGGTGTCCGCTTAGCTGTGGTATGTTTTCAGAGCGTCAGGTATCTCGCTCCCAGTCCCAACACTTATTTCATTTACACTCACTCTTTTTGCCTGTGATTTTACAGTGTGTTAGAAACAGGTCACACAAGCAATTAACAGCGCTGTTACCTTTACTGCACCGGCTCTCTTATGCAACCTAATCTAAATTCAAGGCTCTAATTTCAGTGCGCTGTTTGTTTGTGCAGCTGATTTGATGTTCAGGGCTGTTGGACATATTGTCTTTCTAAAAGCTCGCACTCATCATGTTGAGAAAGTACTTGGGGTAACTTGCATTGCAAAATTGTGCTACGCTGTACTCGTTAACACTTTTCCACAGAAACCGAGCTGGTGCTCGGTGATTTATGAACGTCTTAAAGTAATTTGATCCAGTATGTTTGTTGTTACGAGATGCTGCTACATGCTTTTGATTCAACAGTCGGAAGGTATTTACATTTAACAAATGCTATTCATTGCAATCACATTTGTTTATTTTTATAAAAAAAAATTTTTTTTTATTCGCTTATTATTTTATCATTCACATTAATTTTTTAACATTTTATTAATTCACTTGACTTTTCCAGGTCAAGAAATTCTCCAAAAGTGGCAATATAAAAAAATTAAAAACATAATAATAAAAAAGTTAAAATAAATTAACTTCTATAATTGCAGAATATATATTATTATTTTATTACTACTGTTAATTTTTTATCTGATTAAATGTTTAAATATTTTTTATTAAATTACATGACTTTAACATTTTATTCATTTACTTTACTTTTCCAGGTTAAGAAATTCTCCAAAAGTGGCAATATAAAAAAAAAAATTAAAAACATAATAATAAAAAAGTAAAGTATTTAAATTAAAATAAATTAACTTCTAAAATTGCAGAATATCTGTTATTATTTTCTGACTAATGTTAAATTCTCAGCATTTTTTTTCTGATTAAATGTTTAAATGTGTTTTTTAATTTAATTAATTTTATAGACTTTTCCAGTAGCATAAAAAATATAAAAAAAAAATTAAAACATAATAATAAAAATTTAAAATAAATTAACTTCTATAATTGCAGAATATCTATTATTATTATTTTCTGACTACTGTTAAATTCTCAGCAATTTTTATCTGATTAAATATTTAAATATTTTTTTTTATTGAATTACATGACGTTAAGATTTTTTTTAATTTTCTTGACTTTTCCAGGAAGTGTCAATATGAAAAACTTGAAGTAGCATAAAAAAATAATTAGAAGTAAAGTAATTAATTTGAATTATAATTAGGTTGACTAATTAGGCCTAACTTCTGTAATTTCGGAATATTTTATTATAATACATTTTTCAATTACAAGTATAGAAATTTCTACCTTATAAAATATTAATTTACATTACTTTTTAGATTAATTAAATTTTATTAATTTCCTTGATTTTTTTTCAGTTCTAGAAATTACACTTTAAAATGTCCTCATACATCCATCCAGGTTTTCAATAACCAACCCTCCTCTTAGAAAAACAAAACAAACAAAAAAAACAACAGTTTTTGATGTGACAAAATAAATGAAATGTCATTGCATCTTCATTTTTTGCTTTTAGCTTATTTTAAAGCCTTTTTTTATATTTATTTTTTTAATTCTATATTTCTTTAATTCATTTTATGGTCCCCTGGTTGAAAACCACTGGTTTACATGAACATGGAGGAGGAAGTGGTTGTGCAACATGTTTTTGAGTGTGCTTTTCAGCAAACTAGACTAAATGTTTGTTGTTGTTCTGAAAACTGTACATGGACATTATCCCGCCTTCGGGAATCTGGCCTAAAAACCTTTCTGCTGTAAATGAGTCGAGCGAGTCCAGATCCGTAACTGGTTCTGGTCCGGTTCCTCTGTTTCCCGCTCAAGGACACCGTCACACCTTGTGCTCGACGGTGGGAATGGTTAACACATGATCATGTGACCTCTTACAAAGGTCAATGCAATCAGCACACTTCTAAAGAGTTGTCAAACGTCCATGTGTGTGTGTGTGTGTGTAAGCGCCTGGGGGGGTTGTTAGTGTGTGAATGTGTGTGGTTGATTGGCTCTTATCAGTCAACAGGGCAGCACTTGTAATCGCAGTGCTTGAAAACCTAATGGGTTTATGGAAATAATTAGATGTCTCTCTGTAACAGCTGCTTGAACGAGACTTCGTACTTGTTCCTGGTCTTATTGTGCACGACTTGTCACCTTTCATCAAAACGCAATTAGGCTGCCTTTCTAAAATGTATATGAATAGCTGTGCAGTAATTGAGTTCTGGTTAAGGTCAAAGTCACATTGAATATTCCTTGTTCAATCCAAAATGCATCACATTCATGGAGTTGTGTAAAAAGCAGTTTGATTTTAACTTTAACTCTTGCAAGATCCCATTTTCACAAAGTCATTATTGCAGCTTCCAATCAAAATTGATATTTTGCATGAATATGCTGATGTTCGTTAATTATTAGGTCGATTTAGATGATATGTGTGTGATATACTTGTTGATTTGTCATTTGCTGCATTTGTGTTGCAGGGTTTTCTTCTGTATACACTCTCAGAAAAAAGGTACAAAAGCTTTCACTGGGGCTGTACCTTTTCAAAAGGTAAACTTTTGTCCATTTTAAGTGCTAATATGTACATTTTAAGTGGTAATATGTACATTTTAAGTGCTAATATGTTCATTTTAGGTGGTAATATGTCCATTTTAGGTCCTAATATGTCCATTTTAAGTGCTAATATGTACATTTTAAGTGCTAATATGTACATTTAAGGTGTTAATATGTACATTTTAGGTGGTAATATGTACATTTTAAGTGTTAATATGTACATTTCGGGAGCTAATATGTCCATTTTAGGTCCTAATATGTACATTTTAGGTTCTAATATGTACATTTTAAGTGCTAATATGTACATTTAAGGTGTTAATATGTACATTGTAGGTGGTAATGTGTACATTTTAAGTGTTAACATGTACATTTCGTGAGCTAATATGTCCATTTTAGGTCCTAATATGTACATTTTAGGTTCTAATATGTACCACTAAGGTACCAATATGCAGCCTTTGGGTACAAAAGTGTACCTTTTGAAAAGGTACAGCCCCAGTGACAGCTTTTGTACCTTTTTTTTTTTTTCTGAGAGTGTACAGTTTCCAAAAAGCCACTGGATGGACATCAAAGTCTGTCCTTTTAGGTTACATAAACATCTTCTGAAAGATTAGAAATGAGCATGAACTTTGTTCAATAGCGTTTAGCTGTGATTGAAACGCTGATGTGTGTGTGTGATCTTGAGGAAATGTTTGTCGGCTGTTTTGCGGTAGTAAACCGGCAGTCATGCTTCTCTCCTTGCAGAAAATTGTTGACTTTCAGCTTCCTCCATTAAGTGTCTTCAAACGTTTGGCATCCTTTACTGCTTTCCTTCTCATTAGCGTGGCAGACGGCGCTGATCGTTTACAGATTTACGTTTTTTTGCCTCGCTAACAAC